TTCGTTTGTGACGGAACCACACGGCACTACAGTTGGTGGAATTCAGTTAGTGTCGCAAGAAGGAAAGAATCCAGTTATCATGCTTTCACAACCAGTAGAAAGTGTTGCATCTCATATCATGCCACTATACATTTGCGCGGTTATGGATGGAAACCCGCTAAGAAGAGTATTCGTAGACAATTGCGCAGCGATAAATATTCTACCATCAAGGGCATTATGTAAGCTGGATAAGCACTTAAAGGATCTAGTGCCAACTGAAGTTTTTGTGTGTGGATTCACAGGAAACGTCACATGTACCAAAGGAATATTACCATTGCAAGTGGAAGTAGGATCGCAGATGGTAGTATCAGCGTTCTTTGTGGTTGACAACAAAGCATCTTACAATGCTCTCCTTGGACGAGATTGAATTCATTCAACAAGATGCATTGCTTCTTCTCTACATCAAGCAATTATTTTGTGAGGAGTAGAAGGTTCTAGAAATCATTGCAGCCAACACAAGTCCTTTCGCGGCACAAGCCAATCATATGGAAGCCTATTATTATGATCAAGAGGTAGGTCTGTACCGGCTTATCGTCATGGACAAGTATGGTCGGCCAAAACAAGCCACTATGCGCAGAGATATGAATCTTCCTGAATGGAAGTTACTATGGCGAGAAATCAACAGGCTGTACAATTACAACGTGCTAAGGCCGTTGCCAGCCGCACCAGCTATAGAAGAGGTTTCCAATGAAGATAATTGAACAGATAGAAGATTTCAGTGCAGAAGATTTAGACATTGAGTTGTTGAAAGCAAAAGAGAAACAGGAAGCAATTCGGCGCATATTGTAATATTTTGAAAATGAACGCCGACTGGCAGCAGATACGCCTACAGTTTGTTGGGATGAGTGATTTCCGATAGTGATGTAATAGAATTGAATTGGCCACTGCAACACCAAAACTAAGTGATGACATAGTTGTTACTAAAGAGTCAGTCGAAGTAGTAAATTTAGGTTCATCAGGTGAGGAAAAACATACCTCATTAGTTCTTCCTTAACCGCCGATGAAAAGAGACAATTGATTGCATTGTTGCAACAATACCGTGATTGTTTTGCATGGGACTACACGGAGATGCTAGGTTTAGATCACAGTTTAGTTGAGCATAGTATCCCTTTGAGGGCGGGTTTCAGGCCATTCAAATATCCACCACGATGGTTTTCTGAAGATGTTGTGGTCAAAGTTAAAAGAAAAGATTGAACGCTACTGGCAGTTGATTTCATCGAAGTAGCAGTGTATGTTGAATGGTTATCCAATGTGATTCCTGTCATCAAGAAAAATGGCCTAACAAGAGTTTGTACAGATTTTCGTAATCTCGATTTGGCGTCACCAAAGGATGAGTATCAGATGCCAATTGCGAAAACTTTAATTGACAGGTTGATGGATTTTTAGGTCATGAGTTTCGTAGATGCAACGCTGGATACAATCAAATTTTTATAGCCCCTGCAGACGTTCATAAAAATGCTTTTTGTAACCTATCAACGTGCAATGAACGGTATTTTCCATGATCTTATTGGAAAAGTTTTGGAGGTTTACATAAATTATATGGTAATGAAGTCACACTCCTTTTCGAAACATCTGCAACATTTGCATCAATGCTTTGAGCGTATAAGGAAATATCAGTAAAAGTTGTTAAAATGCGCATTTGCAGTGATGTCAGGTGTATTTTTTGGTTTCTTAGTTCATTCTAGGGGCATTGAAGTGGACGCTGAAAAGGCCAAGTCGATTATAGAAGCTAGACCTCCACGGACAAAGAAAGAATTGTAGAGTTTAATCGGGAAAGTTAATTTTCTTTGCCGATTTATTGCCAACTTATCTAAGAAGTTGAAGCCCTTATGTCCACTTTTTCATGTTCAAGCGGCCGAAGATATGGTGTGGGAGGAAGAGCAACAACAAGCGTTCCAGGATATCAAGCTGGTTTTATCTCCTATCAAACAAGCCATTAAAACTCTATTTGTCGGCGACCGAGGAATCGTTACGTTGTTTATTAGCCCATGACGGATTCGAAAGAGCTGTTTACTATTTAAGCCGCATGCTTACCAACACAGAATGCCGATATCTTCCGATTGAAAAGCTGTGCTTGGCATTGTGTTTTGTTGCAACCATGTTACGTCACTATATGCTTCCTGGTTTAGTCTACGTAATCATCAAAGTCAACCTGGTCCGGTACATGTTGCACCAACCAACGATGAGTGGTAGAATAGGAAAATGGGTCCTGCCCTTGATAGATTATCAGCTCTAACATGTACCCCAGTCGGTGGTAAAGGGGCAAGTGCTAGCAGATTTCTTGGTTTCACATCCCTCACTTGATGACGATTAGGATGGAGAATTCCTTGACTCGTTCCAGGAGCACCATGTGGAAGAACCTTTATGGATGGTACATTTTGACAGATCTAGTTATCTCACGTAGCGATGTAGGAATAGTAGTTACTCCACCACATGGACGGAAGTTGTGTTGTTAGACCTATCTAAATTTTTAGGCAACTCATAATCAGGTAGAATATGAATGGTTAATCCACACCCTGCAAACGATACTGCATAATGGTGCAACTCATGCAAAGGTGATTGGAGATTCCACTTTAGTCATTGGGCAGATGAATAAGTTGATGGATCACAATGATGACATCATGTTCAAATACGCAGCTGTCAGTGATGTCCTTGCTTCTCAATTTCAACATATTGAGTTTTATTATGTTGAGAGAGAATTTCATGCTGATGCCAATGACATGGCACAATTAGCTTCCGGATATCTCAAAACGCCACTTGATCCAGATATTGCTTATGACACAGTGGATTTTGACGCTCAGGCATATGATCGATACAATCCAGTGGAGGTCCTTTCTGTTGCAACCGTTAATATAACAGATGATTGGCGTACACCGATAATTAAGTTCTCACAAGACCCAAATCATCATACTCCATTATCTATACGGTGACAAGCGCCTAACTATGTTCTGTTGCAAGGGCAGTTATACCGGAAAACAGCAGATGAGGTGTTGCATCGATGCTTAAGCAAAACAGAATACACGGTGGTGATGCTGGAAACACATGAAGGGTTTTGTGGAGCGCATCAGAGCGGACGCAAAATGGCTTGGTTACTATGCCGCCACGGTTATTTTTGACCAACTATGACCCAAGATTGTATCAACTTTACTAGAGGGTGCATTGATTGCCATAAACATGCAGATATTCCACATACACACCCAAAGCCAATGCAGTTCATATTCAAACCATGGTCATACCATTGTTGGGATTTAGATGTTATTGGCATGATACAACCACCATCCTCTTCCGGGCACCGTTATGTTTTGGTTGCAATACATTATTTCACCAAATAGGTAGAAGCGGTACCTCTAGAAGATATTGATCAAAAGGAAGCAACGAAGCCGAACACCAACATCTTTCCGCCAAAGCAAAGCTAACCCCCCCCCCCCTCGAACTATTTGCATCAACAGCTACACCAAACAAATTAAACCGAGACCTTATTTCATCAATCTTGGATAAAGAACAATCGGTTTTCGATAGGAATACCAAATGGGGTGACTTAGCGCGAATGTTTTCACGCAGCTCTTGAATTGTATGAGGGTTCCCAAGCCCTCGACAATTCCAACAAAGGATACTCATATTTGTAGGTGGTGATGGTCCTCCATGTCAGCTACCACCTCTGGTATATTGGTCTCAACATCACTGATAACTGCCACTTCTTCAACCCAGGTCTCAGCAGAAGCCCTTTTTCGTTTCCCTCCTTCAGAATTTAGCTCCAGCTCAAAATTTCTTTTCCCCGCTATCTCTACACCAACCGGTTCAACTTCCTCCGATATTTGCAGCCTCCGTCTTGTCCCTCTACCTCTTCCTCTACCACTGGAATCCATGGAGACACTCTTACTGGTTCTGTACCTTGTTAGAGTTCTGGCAGCACGACGAGCACGAGAATCAAAAGTAACTGGAACAGCATGAAGAAATGGGCTAGAAGGCAAGTCAGGGTTTAGGCTAGCTTCGGGAAGGGGATTTTGTTGTTGTGGCGGGGAGTTTGGATAAGTGATAAGGGGAGCAGGTTGGTCAGGGATAGGGGAACTAGGTGGAGATGTTAATGAAGGTTCGTGTGTGATGGTTGGTTCAGCTGTCATGTTATTAGGAAGGGCGATGTCCATATCTTGTTCTAGGTCAGTTTCAGGCGGTAGTGGATTACCTGATTGGTCCACAAGGGGAGCTGGGAATCTATCTGGTTGTGGAAATGTTCTAGCAAGGTTTTTGGCAGTGGCGAGACAAGGGAAATCCCGAAGGACCACGTTGGGCCAAATGTATGTTTTGAGAGTCATGGGTGTAGGTTTGCGGAGGTTTACGGGTTCATCAGGGGGTAAAGGTGAGGATTTAGGTTGTGATGGGATGGGAATGGAGGAAGCTGTGATGGCGAGTTGAGAGTCTCAACAGGGTCTGGAGTAATTGAGGGTTTCAGTTGAGTATCCCTCCTGCATTCATAATCATCACGCTTGTGAGGGGGAGGATAAGGGATTTTCTTACCAGAGTTGGCCAAACTTTCTGATTCCGATCTCCTCCAGTTTCCACTTGAAGATCCCGAAGATGATGAAGAACGACCATTGTATGGAACAGCCCGAAGACTCTCTCAAGAGTTGAGGATTTTCTCATGGGTGGTATTGCTGAGGATTTTGGCTGAACAGTCTTGGTCAATATGGCCAATTACTCCACAAAAGTAACGAAAGTCAGGAAGTCGCTCATAACTTATTTCACATGTGTAGATCCGTTTCCTTGAAAGTGACTTCAACTGATTGGCAGAGAGGTTTTGTTATGTCAATAGAAACTCGAGCGTGCAGATATGCTCCAAATCCGAAGCCATATTGATCACAATCCGACTCCACGAATCGCCCAATAATGTTTCCGATCGACTCTGCAGCATCCTTGTTCATCAGACCATAGGGTAATCCTCAAATGTGAATCCAAAAAGGCACCTAGGAGAAATCAACATTGTCATTAACATCATCTTCGTTCACTTCTGTGAGGACAAAGAGTAGCTTGCCTATTGTCCACGGAGACCCTTGTTGAACCCGTCTTAGATCTACTGGAGAATTAAACTTGAAGAAAACCGTATTCCTTCCAGCATCCATGTGGTTGAAGCCATGTTGCACTTTCCAGTAACTCCGAAAATAAATGGCAATTTCATTGTGACTTAGAAAACGATCCTTTGGGGCAATCACCTTTCCAACCAAATAGTTGCCAGATCCAAGTTTCCTGCCCACCGATTCATCCAACACAGCCTTCCTCGGCTCATTCAGGAAGAGGTCAGCGCACAAATCTTCCAAAGATGGCTCCATGAATGGGGGTAACGACAAAGTAATCGCAATCAGGAATGAAGAGATGAATAGAATAGCAAGCTTTAGATCCCAAAATCGGCAATTCAGATATGTAAAATACTCAAGTAAAATTTAGTAAAACAATATATAAAAGACAAGAAGATCTATGGGAATTATGCAAGAAAACTTTTTTAGGTTTTGAAAACAGTTTTGGGTTTCGGCTGTTCTTAGGACAAAATAAATGTTTGATTGAAAAAATTTTGAAAAACGAGACCGGACATGGAATCTTAGTAGACAAGGCAAGAATTATATTTTCGAGAGTGATTGAAGATTCAGACAATAAGGTGGATTTGAACTGGGAAGCGATCACCGTTGTGGGGAAGCCTCATGAGAGGAAAACTAGGACTATAGATGCGCCTCAAAGAGTTGCAAATGTTGGGGGTTCTTTCCCAACAAAGATTGAGAATTAATGATCTCTCCAAGAAGAATTGTTAATTAATGTGAATATTGTTTTTTTGGAAAAGAATGTGAAAATTGTTATGCATTACATTGGCAACGCGTAGCGTGAGATTCAAGATCTCCAAGGGCTTTTACAACATTGTATATACCATATGCATTTATTTTTTATATTTTTTTGGAGTAATGGTATACCGTGTGAGTTGCCATTAAAAGTTTCAATAGACACCAATCCAATTCTTCTTCATAAGGCGTTTCATTACCAAACCCGGGGTAAAACATTTTTAGAAAAAACATAAAGAAGAAAAACACTTAATTTAACACCAATCCAATTATTTTTATGTTACTATTGGAGTGAACTTATTTTACACAGTTTGAAATAGCATCATGAAACTGCAAAACCCATAACTTTTAGTTTTAGTTTGATAAACAGTACAGATATTTCATGATTAGTCTTTTTTCTAAATTCATTTCTTGGTGAAAAATCAAAATCGTGAAATTTTCGCTTGAAATTGAAAACCAAATACTCCTCCGTTTTTGTTTATTTAAGATTTTTATTTTTTATTACAAATTACATTAAAAGATGAAAATTAAATGCGATAATTATTTTTGGACGTAGGGAGTAATAATAACAAAAATACATTGGACAAATAAAAGTGTCAAATTCTCACCCCTCCCTCTTTCTAATTATATCATCTTTGTTCGTATCGAACAAAATAATGCACATCCTACAAATTGTTAAAATGTTGGCAGGTAATGTAACCCTGATTGACTATATAAAACCTTTAAAAGTTCTGGTTTCAACAAAGGGGCATAAAACCGCCCATCAAGCAAATGAAAAATAAGCTACAACGTCATCAGATGAAAAACGAAGGCGGATATTAGTCAGGCTAAGAATCTCGCCGCGTATTTAATTTAATTTAATTTTTTTCATGAACATTGTTCTTATAGAATATAGATGGACTCCTCAGTTCCTCCCAAGTACATATTTTGCTGTTACTCAAGAATTTGTAGGAAGTATTTTGCCGATAAAACATTGGCAATGGCCATTCAAGCATCTATAAGGTATTGTATCCGGGGGACACTGTATTTCACAACCAGCATACGTCTTGCAATCTCGGAACTGAAGCGTTTTTACCGGTGGTACTCCTTTCCGGAGGCTGCGGCTTCCACTTAGGATCTCCTCATCCTGTGCTGCCGCCAATGACCACCAATCTGATGGATCAAGTTTGATATGTAATCAGGTAGGGGTAACATAAATTTTTTATTATAAATTGCATGCCTAATAAACGTTTCTTCAGATGATATATTAATGTAATGTAATTCATATAATCAATTTCATGTGACGAGATACAAAATCAGCTAATTTTCATCACGTACCATAGGCAACAAGCAACAAGATGATCAAGAAAACTAACTTCATCGAAGATCTCGCCATGCCAAATGAATGAATATTAACACCCACTAACTTTACCGGTTGAAATATATGTGAAAGCTTCAAATACAAATTTGCATCTGATCATTTTATAGGCAAGTTTGGTAAACCATTATAATTCATTACTAAATCTTAGCAATAAATACTGAATTGTAATTACTAGTAAAGATTTGTAGGATTTTGCCATAAAAATCAAATCATGATTAAGATATGGCCATGATTCTCATCGAATTCGGTTATTGCCTCTTCAATGAATTTGGATTAAGGGTAGGGGATGGAGAAGAATTTAATCAGACACGTATCATTTCCTTATCACATTTTCATTAAGCAGTCAATTTTTATTTACCGTGTTAATATAACTTATTCACTTTTTATTTATAGATACAACCTGTTCAGTTAATTGCTTTAGAAGACAAGATTTTCTTGCGGTGTTTGAATATCAAATCATATTATTCTTTTCAAAATCAAACTGCGGCGGTGTTTGAATATGAATTTGTATTATTCTTTTCAAAATCAAACAGATATCTTCGTAATCTGCAATTGCAAAAGATTGGTGAGCACGTAGATAAAATTCAGGTACACCTTTTGAATTTCAATTGACATAGATGAGATAAATTTTCCATCTTTCTCTAGGCAATCGGCGGCTACCGATTCGAAACCCTACTTCAGAATCCATTTTCTTTCGTTCTATAAATAGAGGAACTAGTTACCTCAATCTTCTGTCATCTAACAAAATCGGTCACCACCTCATTGACTGACCGGAGCCGAGACTGCCATCTCTGTCTTCTATTAGAAGATAAACAATGCTTAAAACCATCCTGAATACAAATCTGACGATGACCAGTAGGACAATGGAGTGAATAGTATTTTACGGCATCTACATTTCGGGAAGGTAGATTTCTGATTTTTTTTTTCCAAATTCTATATATTAAGAGAATCCTATATATTAATCATATACATTAAGAGAATAATCTTTTCGGACACATGTCACATAATGAGATGTCTAATCAAACAATCAGAAAAATCAAGTCTTATTAGATATAGTGAAAAACTTTTGGTAACTATTTAATTTAACTTATTTACTCATACATATTTCATTAGTAAATCAAGAACACAATAATTTAGTTAATAATGAACATGGTCCGGCCGTATGACACATCATACGTGATTTTGAAATGTTTCTAAACGTTTTCAGAATTCCAAAATGCACAATAAATATCATTTCCAAATATGATTTCCAAATTTATGGCACATCACGATATGATTTTAAAATTCAAAAATAATGATATTTAAATTGATCACGCTAATTCCCTCGCACATCCGAAAATTAATAAATGAAGTTTATTTAAAAAATTGTGGGTAAATTAACAAGACTAATATTCCGTCCACATTCACAAACCCCTCAAATGTGTTAATTAATTCCTCCAAATTCTATTGTTCAAAAAGCTCAAAATATGTATATTAATTCCTCCCAATTCTATCATTAAAGACTTAAGGTTTTAGGAAAATGATATACTTAGTGAAAAAAGATAGTAAAATCGACATTTTATTCATTCATTAAGTTACACTTATTCATCTAACAAAGCTATAACTATTCTTCATTCTAGTGTTGTTATTCATCTAGGATGGGATCATTATTCGTCAAAATTTGTTTCTTTATTTATCTTTGTAAATATCGTTATCCATTTCAAAATTTAAATTTATTTATCCATAAATTTATCACTATAAAAACACCATTATTCATCAATAATATTATCATTATTCATCGATAAGTAAACCATTATTCATCCAAACAAATATCGTTATTCATTAAAATCTTTCAAATTTGACCCTTAATTCTCCAGATTCCATCGTTAATCAGTTAAAATATTTTGTTGCAATTGATTCTCCAGAGTCATAAGTCTCGATGATGAACCATATTCAATTTTACCAAAATAAAATTCATCGTTATAAAAAAATTTCTCATAAAATAAAATAAATAAAAAAGCAAATAGGATAAGACCTGGAGGTTTAAAACGTGTGCTAAAAAAAGGGATAAAATCTGGTAGTTTTGATGTCAGTTTAATGCGCGTGTGATATGGACTACCAACTCCACTCTCTTTTGCCAATTTTGTAATGCACACATCTCCTAGATACACATTGCAAAGGGTACCTAGGTGCTTGTTATTATTTGCCCGATACATAACCCAAACTAGAGGTCGTCACAATAGCCTGGTGCATAAGCAAAATTACTATTCGTCCCATTTGAAAGTTGAATTCGTCACTTAATTAAAATTTTGATTAAAGTAGTTCATCCTTTTCTTTTCTACAATAACTTTATTTGCAAATTGATGAGATGACCATTGCTAAGCGGTGTATAAATGAGACCATACACCTTATTTTTGTCCAAATGTGTGAATACTAACTAATGTAATTTTTTGATGTATTTCTAATTTTTGTAGGGTAGGAGAACTATGACCGAGTTTAAGAAGATTTAATATACAAGTTTAATGGTTGCAAAAATATTTGTAATCTTCAAACATAATATTAGGATTGCAAAAATTCCAGAGCTTGTTGACGTCCTTCCACTTGGGAATATGGATTCAGGTTCTCGAAGTTTTCTGATCATTAACAAAAGTTGAATGATGATTTCTTATTGTGCCCTTTCGTATGTTCTAGCATATTACATATGTGTTACCACATTGTTTTTAATCAAACATGAAGGTTAGGATGTCGTTCAGGCTCCAACTAGCCCAAAAAAACTCAAGGGGTCTACCCAGGAGGTAAGTTTTTGAGCTAGCCCGTGCCATATATCATATTACACCCAAGGGGTCTACCCAATGGATGGACAAGTATACTATATATTTCCCTAGTTACACGCCTCATAATTTTATTAAAATAAATTGAAAGATAGCAAGGGAAGAGTATAGTCATACCCTTGCTAATTACAAAAAGCCTCTACTTTAATCTTACCCGCTGGTAAGGAAAAGATTTATGATCTAGAAGTACAAGATCCCTAACATGTCTAGGCAAACCTATCATACTATTCTAAATCTCAGAACATCCAAGCGATACTTGTCTGGCCAATCCATCTGCTACTGAATTAGGCTCTCTATAAATGTGGTACAATAGGTACGACCACCTAGACATT